TGATCCAATACTTTTCGTGTAAAATCCTGGAAGAAGGTCAAACAGCAAAATCACTCTCTGAAGAGAGAGTAAAAAGTGAGTAACAGCAAAAGGTATGGAACAAAAAAGCATCGGATAATATCCTGCAACATGAACTGCATTTACATGAACCACAGATTATATTCCGAAAAGAAAAACTAGAATTAGGAATATATACAAATATAAATGCTCAAACTATAAGCTCAAAAACAATAACTGATGCGGTGTTTCCAAGATATTTTAACGCCCTTGAGTAACAAGTATATACAAGTATATTTTATCAATCACACCGATAATTTCCTGTATTAAAAGAATTAAAAATGAAAATCAATAACAAAAAAAATTAAATCAGCAAAATGAATAAAATTAAGTGAAATTAATGTTTAATTTCTAACCTAACCTAAAGTAAACAAATATTGACGCTAGTAAGGAAAATAGGTTTGTAGAGGTATTTTTAATAAAATATTCAGTTAAAATATATTTAAATTGCATAATATGTGTTGCAGAAAAAAGTGACCACGGTGGCACAAAGAGGAAATTTAACTTTTCCTCGAGTTGTGTGAATAACAAGCACAACCAATTTGACAGCTAACGAGCTTTGATTGAGATTATATTTATATGTAAACGTACTTTTATGCTTTGCCGTTCGCATATGTTTACACATCAAATTTCATGAGTACCTAGTACTCACGCTTTTTTTTTAAAGCAGAAGATTTTATCAGCTCATTCAAAGATATGGAATATGATGGACTTGAAAATTATGCCGGCTACACAAGTTCGAAAATGGGGTTGACGACTAGGTTTCAGAACGAAAGAGGAAAGTGATCAAAATTTTACTTACATATCGTCGTTTAAAGTACAAAACCGGCGATCGTCGTTCTGCGAAACCGCGTAACCGACATTTTTTGCCAAAAATTGGATTTGCTCACACAAGCTCTGGGCTCAAGCCTTATTTCGTCCTGAAATATACTAAACAGAAATGCGATTGCTTTGTAAAAAAGAGTATGATTTTGAAATATGAGATTGTTTACTCTCTAGAAAATGATTTATTTTGCATTTTGTTGATACGCTGCTTTGTACTTCATATGAAAATATGTTAATTGTTTATCGGAGGGCGGTGTGTTCAAGCCGACTTCAGGTTTTTTGCATACATTAGAAACTTCAAATTCAAAATTTGTGAAAGCTAATGGCGATACGCTAATCACAAAGCCAAATTTTTAGTAAAATCTGATGAGAAATTTAAAAGCAAATTTGAACCAAAATATAAAAAGGTTTTATGTGGGAAGAACATTCTTTA